CTCCAACTTTGATTTCCACATCATAATAATCTAATTCATTCAACAAGTTTGTTAAAACATTTAAAGCCATTTTGGATAATAAATAATATATATTTTTTCATGTTGCAAAAACTTTCATTTGGATAAATAATATTACACAAAAACACAAGAAATTTATTTATAAAATAAATAAATGATTATATTTATAAATTATCCACTTTATTTACTAATTTATATACTTCAAATTCTTCTAAAAAATTAATTCTATTTTTAATATTTAAACTTTTTTTGTATCTATTACAATGTTCATGATTGTAATAACAATAAAACCCATCTTTATAGTTAACGTGTATGCTTAAATCAAGAAAATTTATTAACTTTTGATGAAGACTCATTACTATTATGATATATTGCATATTCAGGATTTTTAACCCTACTCAGTATTGAATTAATTATTTGATTTTGCTCAATTTTAAAAATAAAACTTTTATCAGTTTGAATCCAATAATCATCATCCAGAGACTTTCCGTTTTAAATTCCAGCCAACCGGATTATATCCCCCAACTAATTCTTCTGTGTCTTTAATTTTCATGATAAAAACTGTTTGTTCAATACTGTAGCATTTCTTCTGGAAAACTGCTCTTGAAAACCCATCTCGAAAACTGCTAAAAATCAATTCAAATTTATATGGTAAGTCATTGTTTTCATTATTCATATCATTTTTCTCATCAATCCAAATGGATATTAAGGATTTCAATTCTGAATTTAATAGCTTCTTTTTTCCTTTCCCTACTCTTGGTCCTCTTTGAAGTAACAATTTTGGATGCCATTCATTACTAAGATAGCATTCAAGAATTTCTTTATAAAATTCTTTATTAAAAATTTTTTTAAATGGTTTGATTTTTTTATAAAAATCATCTGAAGATATTTGATCAAATCTAATTAATGTTATAATATTCTCTAATGCATTTTTTAACTGTTTAAAATCATCTTCATTCCACTCTGAAATATCCTTTCCCAACTCTTTGTAATTTTGCCAAATTCCCCATTGAATAACATAATCCCAAATTTTAATTTCCTTCAATTTAAGATCATTTCTTTCCAATATAGTTATAAGTATTGGTTTTTCAATATTAGTAAAATCATCAGATTTCAAAAATAATCTTGGATTTTTATTACAATAATCCTGAAGCAATTTAAATGAATATTTTGATGAAATTTCATAAAGATAAATTAAGTTTTGTTGGATCCAATTTTCTTTTTTAATGATTAAATGTTTTTGTAAATCCTCAATTAATTCAGTGAAATTTAATTCATCACAAGCTTCCAGCAATTCAAGAATTTCATCTGAATTGAAATTATCAATATTAACAATCCCCTCATTATAAATATACCTTTAAAAAATTTTTGCTTTTTAGATATATTTTTTTTTAAACTAAAAAAAAATTAATAACAATAATAAATTAAATAAATATAATTCTTACATTAATATAGCTTCAAATATTTTTGGAGAGATATTTTCTTTTTCAAATAAATTAATTCCATCTTTGGATTTTTTTACCCAATTATTTGATAATGCTGCTTTAAAATATGAAGATTTTGCTTTCAAAATATTAGAATGGGCTTTGAAAGTTTTAACATCCTCATCTTTTCCAACTTTGATTTCCACATCATAATAATCTAATTCATTCAACAAGTTTGTTAAAACCATTTTGGATGATAGTTTATGTTGCAAAAATTTTCATTTGGACAACTAAGATTATACAAAACAAAAAATTTACTAACAGATAATATATCAAAATAAAATAAATTATAAATATACGTATCTATATTTATAAATTCTTTATTATTATATTTAGTAATTTACCGTAAAGTCTGGAAAGATAGCACCCCTACTTTAAAACAATTGAGCGTCAATATAAAAAAATTGTTACACATATGCAAAAAAGGGGATGCTATCTTTCCAGACTTTACGTTAACAAAGGATAAAGGTTAATGTAACATACATACGTCAAAATTTTTTTTTCTAGATTTTCTAAATAAATGTAGGTCGAAATAAAGTTTTAAAAACATATTGTTACTAGACCGTGCTTTTATAACAAAATAATAGATACGTAAAGGTACCCAATTTTGGTTGAAAGAATCCATAATGGGTAAAAAAAGACCATAATAAGAGACTTTTTTATGACTTACTACAAAACGAAGACACAAATGTTTGTAATAACACCAAAAAAATATGAAACTTGAACTTTCCTAGCATAGTAGAAGTTTGTTGTTACACGAAACGTTATACAGAACTCATTGCTTCTGAAACTTCGCCAGTATGTAGTTGTTACCTCTCTAAATTGGAGATCAAACTCAGATCCAATTCAAATCCAGTTTATCACTTACTTTTTATTGCCAGAATGTTTGTCGTAAAGCTACGTTGCACAATATAAAAAATTAGTGTAACATTTTATATGTGAGTCATATGACCATACCGATCATATATGAATTCATTACACACTAATAGATGCGTTACAAAGTAGTTTCGTTATATACTTGTTTTATTTATTATACTTTTTAATTCATAAATTGGTAAGCGATTTCTGTGAATTATGTATTCTGGTTGTTTTGAGTAATCTAAAATTCCATAGAAACCCAAAATATTATTTATCAATAGGGAAATTTTAAATTTACTTTTCAAAAATGGTGACTTTTATATCATCAACACAGCTCATAGATGAGCATACTAATGTCGTAATGTTTATTATAAATCTCGACTTTTACATATAGTATAGTTTCCTTGTTTTTTTAATATAATGAAAATTACTTCCTTTTGAATTCCATGTTTTTTTGTGTTATAAAACAATTTAATCAAATGTGCACTGCTTCATATATGTTTACGAAATATATTCAGGGAAAAACTCGAAAAATTATTCTTTAAAAAAATTTTTTTTTAACTTAAAACAAACTTTAAGAACAAACTGCTGCAGTAAAATGGACGAACTATTTGTAGTGGAAGCATATAAATGGCGGATTCGTGGTCTTAGTACCATGGTAAGTGATTAGTTAATAAAGCTTAATCGACGAATAGCTCATTATAGGCATCTTTTATGATTTATTTGTTTCAATATCGTTATATAGACTTTGACAGATAGGTTTGTCAAATTTTTTAAAAATTTCGGATTAGTTGTCTGTTTTGGCTTTTGGCAGTGAATGTAATGAATCATTGCAAGGATTTTATTATGTCGACTAAAAGTATCGGAAAGAAAAAATTGATTAAAGGGTAGCGTCATGCTACTTGCTACAAGAAATCCTTTTCATGTGAATGACCAAGAGGATAGTTTAATAATAATAATATTGTCTGATACAGCATATTAGTATTAGTATATTGATCGTATAGTTAGTTTATGTACATTTATGTAATTATTTTTTATTAAAATATATTAATAATACGAAAAAAACCAAATTATATATGATACCAGGAATCAATAGTTTTGCCAACCTGATTGTGGACGAGACAAATATCATTTACACCCTAATAAGTTTAGAAGCTATGAATATATAGCGATTGTATAAATCCATATTTTTAGACAGCTAATACGGAATGTGCAAATGGTAATTATAATCAAGATACAACCGCAATTTAAAAATTTGTAAAAATAATTTTATTAAAATAATTGATGGCAAATTATCCATTCCTGTTCTATAGTGTGGAGGCCTTGAAATGTGAAAGGACCAGCATATCCATTGAAAATAACATTGAACAATGCTATCTATGAACAAGCGAGATGGCATAATGAGGTTTGACTAGGAAAATCGCACTTTTATAAATTTGATTTTAAATATCTGATAATACTATAAAATTCAATGTTCGTGCAGTATGTTACGCGTTGAAGACGATCTTGATCAGTGACAGAAACCGCGATGAATAATCTGTGACAATAGAAAAAATTAGGAAAAAAAAAGTTAAGTGACCAAACAAGCATACATATAGACTTTAAGGCTTCAACTACAATACTATGTGACGGCAGTTGCTAGGTAGACGCCATAAAGAACCCCATGTTGTGCCACTTTAATACACAGGAATTATAGAAAAAAGCAGTCTCATTAATACAAAATAAAACTTGTCTTTTGTAATGGTAATAGTAACGTTATTATTATTAGTGTTAGTGTCGAGCAAACTACTAAATCAGATCCAACTGAGGTATTTGATATTGATAGCCAAGATAGTTACCGAGGTTAAGTAGCACAGAATTGATAATTTTCGTTAGTGTTCAATACTTTCCTTCTGCTCATTCAGGAGCTATCAAACCAAACCGTTTATAATTGGCTGATTCTGAAGGAGATGGTGAATGTGAAAAACCTTATTGGGATGATGCGATTGATGAATATATTAGATGTTCTAATAATGATACTTTTAAAACCACCTGTTCCAAATATAAATTAATCTGTACAATCGACCAAGAAAATCATTATGCAGCTCAAAGAAAAAACTTTGTCAGATTCGCCTTATATAGAGTAGAAGATAGTGAGCTGTTCTTTTTTTCAACACCTAATCACAAAGATCTTACACCTTGTTTCCATATCAATATGAATGTGCAATCGTTAAAATTACAATATATAAAAATTCAGGTCTCAATCACAGATTTTATTCAATCTTAATAATACTCTTTCTACATTGATGTTTGACAAAGGACATTGCGTAATCTGGAATAAGGAAAATATCATACTTTTTCACGAGATGATCTGCTGGTACAGGTAAACCATATATGCCACACATTTTCTTGTGTCTAATAAAGTCAATTTATCTGCTCAATATTCCAATTGGTATAGCTGCACAAATATTGGAGACAAAACCATTCACTCTGAATTAAAAAAACAAGGCAAACATAATCACATTATGAGGCTTTACCTATGACAAAGCAATTATAATTGATAAGATTCCATGGTGTCGAACGTTCTTTTCTCTTTCATCTGCAACATGCTCGGTTCATTATAAATTTCAAAAATGTTTGCTGATTTTAATCAGAGATCTATCACAACCAAATTGATAGTAAGCCAGTGTTTGTTCCTTTATTCTCAAAACAAGAAGAAAACCTTTGATTTGTACGACATGCTTCAGAAGTTGTGATTTGACCACCTATCCGAAAAATTATAATGAATAAAGTTATCAACCCGAATTTACTTGTATGGTAGGCTTGCACGCGAAACAACGGATAAAATTAATGAATTGATTTGTAAAAATTTACCTCTTGATGAAGAAAGACTTGGTTCGTTATCTCAGTTGCAAAAGATGCAATCAATTATAATACACTTGATCAGGTCCAAGATGAAAACTTTCATTATACAGCCTACTCAAATATATCATCCTGCAAGAAGGTGTCAAGGGTAGCCTTAACAATAAGTTATTTGATCATAAAATTTGAAATGGATGTGATAACCAAAATAATTGATTAACAAAATATTGAAACGACTTTCCAACAATCCTATGGAATCACAAAAATAATTGTGCAAAAGGAAACCCTTAACATTTTCCTTTGCAGAAAGCCTTCACCCTAATTGTACATAAAATATAGGGATTCACAAAACTATTAGTATTGATTAAAATATGTTTGTTCCTGTTAAGTAAATGTAGCAATAAGCAGAACGCCTTCTTTGGATGTGCTTGAAATCTTATATTTTGACTTTTCTGTGTAAAAACTGATCATTCTGTAATTCAGAAATATACAAGATTGAAAAGTATAAATCAAATATGACTTGGCCAAATGATTAAAAAAATATATACAGAGAAGATTTACATTACATTAATGTTAAATTAAAATTTTAGAACAACTTCACCTTTTATAGTAAAAACTTATTATAATTATTAAATTAGTGTATATTACATATCGTATATATATTATATAAATGTATGCTTGTGTGTTCTATAAAATGTTATTAAATAAGTAAATTTATAAATAATAGATAAATAAATAATTTTAAATCATTATATAAAAAATAAATAATTATAATTATTAAACTACACGTGTGTATATTAAAATGCTCTGTATATTATTATATTATTACAAGTTTTCATCAAAAAAAAGACAATAAAATAATAAATTTAAATTATTAAATTAGCATTGAAATTTATAAAAAATCAATAACCTTTTATCTATTTATCAATGTCTACTGCATTGAATCCAGTAATATTTAAAGATCTTCTACTCCCATTTCCTTATCATCAACACCTTTACCTTTATCGTTATTTTCATCATTGTTATCGTCTTTTATACTGTCATCAGCATCACCATCATCATCATTATTATTATAACTAATTTCTTCTTGAATTCCAACGATACTTGTTCTGCTTTCAAGAATTTTTTTTCCATTTAAAAAAGTCTCCAATTCATCTAATAACCCTCTAAGGATATTCCGTTCTTCATTGCCAAAAAGCAAACCAATCAATCCTAGAATGGAGGCAACAGCTGCAATAGGACCATTTATTATGATAAAAATGAGACCCAAGTATTGATAATCTTGGCTTATAGCATTGGCAGTGAGTAATATTTGTAACAAAATTAATCCAAATATCAAAAGAAATGAAGCATAAAATAGAAATATGTATATCTTCGAGGTTGTTTTCGATTTATCTAAATCATTTGTGAAAAGTCTCATTAAAATCTTAAGTGTATTGGTGTCTAATTCATATAAAGTCTCACGGGGTTCAAAATCCCAGACTGAAAGTGGGATGACAGAATTCTTATTACGATTAACAAGTGTAAATTTTGCTTCTACACCAAAATGATCAGAGTAGCTAACTCCTAACTCTGGGATTTTTTCTGTGAACACTACACGTGACCCACTGCACCAAAATCTTGATGTTTTGCGATAAAAAACGTAATCGATACGTTCACCACTATAATTGTTATGATTTGCTTGTTTGAAAGATATATTTGACCATGTATTTAAAGGTGAGTCACAGGTGTAGCCATTTTTAGTGATAGACGTTGCTGGATCAAATGGATTATTAGCAGCATCATTATTAAGAGATGTCGTTGAGACATTCGACGAACTTGAAGTATTTTGTGAAGCCCAAGAATCAGTCATTTGTCCATGTGTTGTCACAAGTTTATACAGAATAGAATCCGGTTCACTATTAAAATCTCCAAGCTAAAATTTTTGTCATGTAAAAAAATAATTTTATCATAAATCTTTGGGGGAAGAATAGAAATGAATGAAAAGAATAAAAAATTACTTACAGCAATAACATTACGACCTCTTGAAGTAGAAACTCTAAGCAAATTGGAAATTTCCCAACCTTGAGAAGTTCTATGACCTAAATAAACATCCGTATTATTTTTGGATCCATAGCCTGCATGTGTCTATTTACATATTTGCATGGAAATATAAATAATTAATATATAATTAAATATTTACTCACAAATAGCATATGTGATATAGTGAATACATTATATGTATATATACATACTTACATGAGTGTTAAATATTTCAATTAATCCAGCTACAGGATGGTCAACAACAGCACTAGCAACACCTTTACCCACATACCAATCACCATGTGTAACTTTGATTGGATGACCATTTAATCGATATTTATGGAAATTTACTTCAACTATTGGATAACGTGAAAGGACTACAAGTCCACTTCCGAAAACACCACTTTTTTTCAGATCATCGAAGAAAAGGAAATTTACACAAGTAATTAATTATAATTAATCTAATAAAAAATATTTTTTCCAGCCTTTTTCTTATTTATGATTTATATACCTTGAATAAAACCTGGAATATGGAAATCTTTTTCTTGTTTTATTACAGATCAATTTATAATTGTCATAAACCCAAACTTCTTGTAAGCAAACTATCTCATAATCTGATTGTGAAAGCTTATCGGCAATTGCTTCCATGCGTTGTTGAAGCTTTTTAGAAATGAATTTCAAACCCCTAATTCGTTTTTTACATTGGAAAGAAAATATTAATTTAATGAAAAGTAACATGAAGCTAAAAAACTTTAAAAAAGTACCAGCAATTTAAGGTAAGTACTGTAAGTGTAGTTGTACTTGAGTCACTCATTGTTTAATTTTATTTTTTATTTTTTAAAAAAAAAATTTTATGAAGTCCATTTGTGTCCACGTTAATAATTAATTGCTCATAATAATAAAAAATTTTAGTTTACACATAACACGTGATTTTTTATATCTTCCAACAATGATTATTAATAATAGAGTATAGGTGACTTGAATATTTATTTCTTTATTATTATTTTATCAATGTGAACTACTGCATTTATTCCAATAATTTTAAAGTATTCAAATGCATCAAAATGCACGAAAGCTCGCAGATTGTTTTAAAAAAGGATACGCAACAAAATCCAAGTCTTCTATACAAATTTATCTCAGATCTTCTCAATAAGGTTCTTTGTCAATATCTTCGTCAAACAATCCTTAATATTATCAAACGTTTTCAACACTTTTTTTGTAATTCAAATTCAAATTCAAATTAGCCAATCGGAATTTCAGTATCTCAATTCTTTTTTTTTATATGAACAAGTTCATACATACGCTCACCAGAGTTTCGTTCGAATTAACTCTCCCTATTTTGTTGCGACGTGGTATAATTGTAAAATTATAATCTAATTGTATATTATGACGTTTCAAAGATTATGTGATTTATACCGTTATTTTGGAGATTATGACTTATATGTGACTTACAAGATTTAAAAAATACCGGATTCATTTTTTCTGCATTCGAATTACTCTTCATATTATAGTCATTGTAATATATAAAATGGAAAGCGAGATATCCATTTTTGGAATTCATTAAGCGTAATTTTTTAATAGCTTTAAAAATTTATAATATGTCTACAGTGTTAAAAATCAAAATTTCATAAGTTTCGTGACTTTGAACCACTACCAAATGAAAAAGAAAACGTTTTACTATGTATCCGTTTATATCATTGTATATATTATTTTAAACGACAAATTATAAACGCTTGCAAAACAAACATGTCAATGTAAAATTGTCGATACTGTACAGTCACGTGTAGAGATGGGAATTACATGCGCATTGTATAAATAGTAACTAAATATCATTTTCAATATTATTATCACTCTTCTTCACTACTTTCTATTCTAATTGTTACAATCAATTAAATTCAATATGGATAAAATATGGATAAATTATTGAAATTTAACAAAATCGAAATTTAACTAAATGATTAATATTGAGTAATATTTATTGCATATCCTCATTTTCATCGTCGTTATCACTTTCATCATTTTCGTCTCTCACATTTCAATATCATAATATCTACATTATCATTGCTGGTGTTTTTAATTTGTGATTGAAATAAAAACACGCCAATTTAAAAAAGCATTCAGGTGTCAAATTGTTTCTCTTTTTATCATGCATAAAGGAAAGGCGAATCAATTCCTTTCAGAAGCAGCTGATGAAGCAGGAACAGAAATTATCAATTTTGCCCAATTTAACAAAAAATTTTGATATTAAAAAAAGTCTTTAATTTTGTAAATTAAAATCAAATCAAGTGTAATTTATGAGTGTAAAAACATCAATGGTTTACGAAGGCATGAAACTCAAAACATAAAGAATGTGGATATTTATCAATATAAGATTTAGTATTATAGGCATTTGTCTTGTATTATGTGTACATTAAACTTTTACTACATTTATAATATGACGAGCATACATACTAATACGTACATACATACATACTAGCATACATACAAACACATACATACAATATATTTGTTTTTAATTATTATTATATATAATAGACTTAACAGCCTTAGATAAATTTATAGAGAGGGTTTCATTATTATTTTTGCATAATGACATTATGTTCTACCTTCCTGTGGATTTTTAGGTCACTCAAACTAACCAAAAATGAATTCAATGTTCATCAGGAAAATAAACCTACGTAGGGTTTAAAACTGACCAGCATTATGCGGAATGTTAACAGAATTACCAAAATATCGACATAATGCTGGCCAATTCTGAACCCTACGTAGGTTTATGTAAGATTTATTTTCCTGATGTTGTCTATACAAAATTTGAGATTATGTAAATAAGTGGTGGTATGTAGTGTTGGTTTCCAAAATTAGAGAGTTTTGCAACCGTGTGAAAGTCAAAAGGTTTCGCCATAAGTCGAAACTAGTTTTGATTTAGTTTTGACATATAGCTTTTAATTTTAGTTTTGACTTTTACCTCTTCAAAATACAACACAGTGGTATACCATTTTCTAAATGGTCACTTCTGTACTTGGTATTTTTTCGATTTTTACATATAAATTTGAATAAGTTAGGTTCTATAGCAGTGTTAAGCAGAATTGTAAATAAAATAGGCAGAACTTGAGCAGAAATAATGTTTTCAAACGCCACAGATTTTGCTTTAGAAATTCATCGTCCCTGGGTTTTACTTTTACAAATTTTTGGGGTTCAATCAGCCGATTCTTGCTAGAGAACCCATTTATTCACGATCCGCACACTTTTTTATTAATATTAATTGAATGTTTACAAAATTTATAATACTTATTTCAAAGAATATAATGGCACTAACAACTCATTTTGGAGTTCTTGAACCCAAAATAAAGATGGGAATCGCAATTAACCACAATTCAATTTTTATATGCCGCAATTAATTCAGGAGTCATCTTTAACCCTTTGTTAGTCCACAACCCATATCACTAACTTATCTTGTGCTAATTCAATAAATATTCTTTGGTTGAGGTTTAATAAACATAATTCGTGATTTTGTTCAACACACGTTTTTGAAGAAGATAGTTGTCGAGAGATATTCATTTTATAAAGAAAAATTCACCTTTATTTATACATTTAGAGGAGACTTGAATAACCTTTAATCAAGACAACAAATAGTAAGGTTATAAATAATTTTATTTGAAGAATTATTAGTGTAAATATTGATTCATTCATTAAAATTCTTGTTTCAACGGGATTTTTGTGATATTAATATAGTGGAACCACTAATACAAATTTACAATTTTCCCAAACTCAAAAAAAATCAATACACGCATTACTATATTAATATTAATTAATTCCCTTTTGGATTGTTGGATGCAAATAACAGACCATTGGGCGTACATTCCTTGGTAAATCTGATAAAAATTACATCCAATCACGCATGCAAACAGGATCTTTTTTTAATAATTTAACCATCTACTTATCATAGTAATGATCGCACACAATGAGATTTTTAATACATTAGAGTAACCTGTTTTTGCGAACCTAAATACTGGAATTAAATTTCCTAGAATAAGGTTTTCTACATATGTTTACTTTGGATGTTATCACGATAATTCATTTTAAGAAATATAGTTTATGCCAATTAGAATTTGCTGACAAATTTAAAAGTAACTAACCATCATCACAAACAAACTTAAACCAATCAATTGAGAATGATAAAGGAATCAATTGTCTATTGGAACAGGGATTAAAATCAAAACATTAAGAAGCAAACAATCAAAACAGATCTAATAAATACCTCCAGTTTTTTACTTTGTCACATTTTTATTCTAACGGATTTTTGATCTAATAAAGTAATTTTATTTTTACTTTTCAATATTTTAAATAAACAACCAATAACATTGTCTTTTTCTCATCCTCATCTTCATCCTCCTCTTCTTCTTTTCTTATTAATTAGGCTATAGAAAATGTCAGATACAGTATCAAATGACACAGAAACTGTTACATTTGCGGTAACTGATGAACAAGGGAAGGCTGCTCTCCTGTTAATGTTGATTGAAAGTTCAGCATCATTGATTGCAACTACATTCGGAATTTCAGTATTTTTTTATATAAGATATGCATTTCCCGATTAGTCGATAGAGTTACATTTCGACTTGCGTTGGGTACAATAGTATCAGACTTTGGTATTGCTGGAGCTAAATTAATCGGTTCGATGTTTACATCCCAAACCGGCCCAGCATGTACAATCGCCATCTGGGGAACTGTATTTTTTACCCTTACATCAATTTTTTTCCTTACCTGTATTGCTCTGGTAAGTATCTTTTTATATCTTTTATTAGTCAATCAATCAATCAATCAACTAATTACTTTTATTGTGATCCACGTGAATTAAACAGAATCTGCAAGCCGTATTCATTCATGGATACAGGGGTAGACTTAAATTAGAAACGATTTAATTCGTAGGTTCGATCACTTTAGCCACAATTCTATCATTAATTCCGTTCGCCGACAACATGTATGGTTGGGATGAGCCCGAAGGGTAAGCTTTTACATCTAATCATTAATTTACTATATCATCATTAACTATATAATCTTTACTTCATAATAGTATGTGCTGGTTGCGTGACTCGGGTACAAAATTGAGTATTACATGGCAATGGGCATCATTCTATATCTGGGAGATATTTTGTATATTATATTGTTTAATAACATTGATTTGTGTTGCGGTGAAGTTATAAAAGAATCAAACAGTAAACGCCAATATTAGTGGTCAAACAGCAACAAGCAAACACGATAAGAATGTTTTAAGGAATAAGGCCATTATATCATTAGTGGTTAAAAAGGTTAATGGTATCCTGTTGTGCCTATAATAACTCAGTCATCAAATTTTTTAGTTGAAACTGACATTTATGTTAACCAGAGGATCAATTATGTATTTTTAATACTGTCTATTACCAATGCATTTCAAGGTAACTAACCAATAATAAAATTATGCCATATGATTTAGTAATTTATTATTAAATATTTAATAATTTTTTTCTTTAGGTTTTCTCAATACCATAGTATTTATGCAAGATCTCGCGGTTTCTAGAGCTTATAGCTTAACGAAATTAAAATGGTGGTATAATCACGTTTAATAAATATGAAGAGTCATATCACCATTTATCACGTAATAAAGCATTAGGTTCGGCTGATCATGAAGTAAAAGATGAACAGCAGAAACAAAGTCAGCAGCAACCTTCTTTTGGCGAAAAATTACGATATAATTTGTTAATCTTATTGATTAGTAAATCAAAAGGAGATGAAATATTGATTGAATATGATCAATTTATGACGGTAAAAGATGACGAGGAATTGTTGTCAACAACGCAAACAATGAATGATAAAAATGATGGTGATGCAAAAGTTAAGGATGACGAGGGCACTCTGGATCAATTTAATAAAAATGTGTTATGCAAAATGTAAAAATATCTATAATTTAAGTAATTTTATATAAATAATAAACAAATATTTTATGATTCTTTTTTTATAAAGTAAACTGATTTTTGTAAAAGTATTTTCGTCTGTAAACGAGTGACCCGCAAGTAAACCAAAATATTTATTATTATCTTGGAGGGTTCCTAATTGTAATTCTAATCTTAATATTAATCTCCTATTCGAATATTCGTAAATCCAAAATTCCGAATTCTGAATATTTATTCAAAAACCTCGTAATTATTCTGTATGCTCGTAATTATTCTGGATGCTCTTATATTTTGGATGTTCATAACTCTTCATTACTTCAGATATTGTATAAATTTTGATAAATTATATCATCATACAAATCAATATTTATTAATCAGGTGTAAGAATGTTGTGACATTTTAAAAATGATCTATACAATTGGTAGTTCCTGAAGTATTGGGAAAAAATTTTCTGCAAATTCCATTTGGGTTTCGCTTTATAATATAAATAAATGTCCGACTTATCGAGTTTAGATGTGTAGGCAGAAATAATGTTTTCAAACGCCGCAGATTTTGATTTTTCGCCGCTGAAATTCATCATCTCCCTGCTTACAAATTTTTGGGGTTCAGTCAGCCAGTTCTTGCTAGAGAACCATTTATTCACGAATTCATCAATTAAAATAATTTCTGGGCCAAAATTCAATAAATTTTTGTGAACTGATCCACACACTTTTTTGTTAGTATTAATTGAATGTTTATAATTTTATTTGAGGAATTATTAGTGTAAATCATAAGTTGGTATTATTATTTAGTGGTAGAAATCTATTTTCGATTCATTCATTATGTCGTAATTTTTTGTGACCCATCTGATTGTTTTAATATTAAAAAATTCTTGTTTCAACGGGATTTTCGTGATATTAATATTAATATAGTGGTACCTAAGTGGTACCACTAATACATGTTTACAATTCTTCCAAACTGAAAAAAAATCAATATACACATTGCTATATTAATATTAATTAATTCCTTTTCCAAAATATTTGGATTGTTGGATGCAAATAACAGACCATTGGGCGTACATATAGTTAACATTAATTATGGCAATGTATTCAGCCTTGGTAAATGAAAGAAATCTAATAAAATTACATCCAATCACGCATGCAAACGGGATTTTTTTTTAATGGTTTTACCATCTACTTATTATAGTAATAGTAATGCTCGCACACAATGCGATTTTTCAATACATTAAAGTAACCTGTTTGCGAACCTTAATACTGGATTTGAATTTCCTGGAGCAAGGTTTTCTACATATGTTTACTTTGGAGTTATTACGGTAATTCGTTCAATGTTTTAAGAAATTTAGTTTATGCCAAGTGGATTGCTGACAAATAAAAAAACTTAAACCAATTAATTGAAAATGATAAGAGAATCATCTTTTGGAACCGGGATTAAAATCAAAACGTTAAGAATCAAACAAACAAAACTTGTCTAGATAAATATTTCCTGTTTTTTTATTTTGTCTCCATTTTTATTCTAACGGATTTTTGATCTAACAAAGTATTAATTTTTTTTTACTTTTCGATATTTTAAAAAAACAAGGAAATTTCTATACACAAACAAAAAGGTTCTTTTTTATGAAATATACAGAACCCTACAAAAAAAGAGATTTAATTGTGGGCTTAAATTTTTGTATATAGGCGTGACATTTAATAGTGAAGTGATGATTAAAATTTGTGGTGTGGTAGACTCTAAAAATTAAATCTTATTGTCACTTAGGTTCTGTATATAGGTTTACCCTTTAAATAAACAACACAACCAATAATATTTGTCTCTTTTTTCCTTCTTCCTCTTCTTGTTCTTATTAAATAGACTATATAAAATGTTGGATCCAGTATCAAATGACACAAACTGTTACATATGCGGTAACCCCTGAAGAAGGGCAAGTGGTTCCTTGTACATTTTATAACTAATTATAATTAGAATTTATTTCACTATAGGTGCTAGTGAACGTGTTTCTGATATGAAAACCATGTTCATCATAGTAGAAATCCTGGCTCAGATGCAGTCATAACTGTTGCAAAATCATGTTATGCAAAGAAAAATAATGATAATATCAAATTTTTAAAAGGACATGGTATTAATTATTTAGCACAGAACTGTTCAAGATTTAATGGTGGTCTTAATTTTTATGCAGTAGAATATATAAAAACAAACAATTTTTTTCCCTTCCATAAATTGTTTTCTCAAGTAATAAAGAAATACCAAATGAAATCAAACAACATCCTATGTTACTGATACCTTCTTTACACAATTGGCTGTTATTTGAGATGATGAATTATTTAGCAATCCAAGTGTTACTAATCCTTTAAAGACACTCTTAAAGAAACATTCATATTACATGTGGCTATCCCAAAATTGACATCACAACAAATAAAAGAACCTGATTATTTTCAGTACATCTCAAAAAATGCTGCTAATAAAATTAACCTTCCAACATTAGTTCCATTAAGACATTGTACACATAACCACACTGATAATATTAAGAATGTAATGATTATTGCTAACTGTTAATACAATCAGTCACTCACTATTAATTATCCATTATATAGCGCATAAAAACCCTTTTATAATGTCTTTTAAATGTCTAATAATTACCTTTACATCCATGTATCAAAAAATTTATTAGTATCCATGTTTACAATATATAAAAAAATCACTAAAGTCCTTTTGTCATATCTTTTGGAATGTCTAATCATTACCTTTACACAATGATATATTACACCATGTTATTAAAAAAAACCTATTTACATGCATTGTACAATACATAAAAAGTTTATTAAAGGAAAATTCCTTTCATTATGCCTTTTGAAATGTCTAATGGTTACCTTTACACAATGAAAACATCTTTGATATTTATGTTCATATGTATGATGACATGCATGACAATAACACCCCTATTTAAATATATAATACAATATAATCGTGTAGTTATCCGCAAAAATACCCGCAAATTTGCGCAGTATTTTGTGAAACGTGAGAATATTCGAAAATATCCGAATCCATATTTATTCATTTGATGAATGAAATATTTATAGTAAATAAATATAGAAAAAAATTAATACTATTATGTTTGTTCATGTTAAATGCATTTTATTTTTGCCACATTTATATATATATAAATTAACATATTAACCACATATCCAAAAAAAATTTTTATGCATTTAATTTTTGCTATGTTTTTAACCACATATCCAATTTTCAAGGATCAATTACCAAATCATTCAATTTTTTTTAATCGAACCACATATTCATAATTCATTATTTTTTTCCAACTGACTACAATTAATTATCAAATCATTCGATTTTTTTCAATTGAACCACATATTCATAATTCATTATTTTTTTCCAACTGACTACAATTAATTATCAAATCATTGATTTTTTTTAAACCAAACCACATATTCATACAGTTGAACCCTCATTTCAATGGATTATAATTAAATTCGCATTTCAACGGATTTTTAAAATCTTGTTACACATTATTAATAATTTCATTTTGACGGATTTTGAACAAAATTTTCTTATATGTCCAACCACTTCATTGAAATGAGGTTTGACTGTATTAATGTATTTCAAACCATTCGATTTCCATCTATTTTCAAATAATTAATGTTATTTTGACTGATTTGGGGTTAATTCATAAGTTTATCAAATCATTCTTTTTTTATTAGATTAATTAAGATTGCTTTTATTCTTCATTATTTTTAACCACATGTCAATGTATTTACTATTTTTAAGTGTAATGATATATAAAATAAAACATGCTTTTTAAAAAGATATAAATATAGGAGAATTTCCTTGAACTGACCAAAAAATTATAGATGATCCAAGTGAAGAATGGCAAAAAAGAAAGTGTAAACTATTTACAAAAGAGGAAAGGATGCTTGTGGAGAGATTTAAATCTGTAGTAGATTATCGCAAAAATATTACAACTACAAGTCAAAAACAGATTGCCAAAGAAATTTGTCTAAATTCCAAAGTTGAAATTGGTTTAAATCAATCAATGATATCGAAAATATACAATGGTACAGATATACCAAAATGTAACAATACCTTAGATGCAATTAATTCTTGGATTGATAAAAATGCTAAAATTAAAATTATATAAAATGTGTATAATCATGAAAATCTAATTCATAATTTATTTGATAATTATATATTTATTAATATTTTATTTTTTTATTTTAATTTATATTTAATAATATGTATTCTAAAGGACATCATTTATAAGATACTAAAATCCAAGAACTAAAAAATTGTCTATTTTTCCTATACTTCCTATACATGATATGTCATTTAAATAAAAAAAAATAAAAAAATAATTCGGATATTTTAATAATATTGCTGCGCAAATTTGCGGATATTTTCGAATATTCTCACGGTTTCACAAAATACTGCGCAAATTTGCGGGTATTTTTGCGGATAACTACACAATTATTAATACAATGATTGAAAAATTTTACCAAAAAAACAACACTGACAGCAAAGTAATATTCGATACATTAATCTTTTGCCACATAAACCATTCAGATGTTCTAGAGAAACAGGTACTTTTTACTTGAAAGATCCTTCTTCGATAAAATGATCTCAAACATAGCTTTCTCTATATGAGTTTTCCATACTTTGTCAAAGTTTTGTATTTTTTTTTTATTTGGTGGTCTACATAATACATCATTGGTAATGGACTCTGACAAAAAATTTTTTCTTCATCATTAATTAAAATAATGCCATCATTTACTGAAGCCGTTTATTGAGGAAATTTTATCGATTTAAGTATTACAAGTATTACAAATATTTGAATATGTGAATACGGTGCAAATCATCTAAAAGCATCGCATGCTACGCCACTCGTACAATTTTTCGTGTCCAGAAGATTGCTAAAATAGAGAATTTTTGGTAAAATAAGTAAATATGGAAAATCAGTCAAATCCATTAAATCAAGCAAGTTAGACAATTATAGTA